TCCCAAGGAGCACTGTGCAAGCAATCATATTGAAATGGAAGGAGTATCAGACCACTGCAAATCTACCAAGACCCGGCCGTCCCTCTAAACTTTCATCTGGAACAAGGAGAAGACTGATCAGAGATGCAGCCAAGAGGCCCATGATCACTCTGGATGAACTGCAGAGATCTACAGCTGAGGTGGGAGAGTCTGTCCATAGGACAACAATCAGTCGTACACTGCACAAATCTGGCCTTTATGGAAAAGTGGCAAGAAGAAAGCCATTTCTCAAAGATATCCATAAAAAGTGTTGTTTAAAGTTTGCCACAAGCACCTGGGAGACACACCAAACATGTGGAAGAAGGTGCTCTGGTCACATGAAACCAAAATCCAACTGTTTGGCCACAATGCAAAACGATGTTTGGCGTAAAAACAACACAGCTCATCACCCTGAACACACCATCCCCACTGTCAAACATGGTGGTGGCAGCATCATGGTTTGGGCCTGCTTTTCGTCAGCAGGGACAGGGAAGATGGTCAGAATTGATGGGAAGATGGATGGGGCCAAATACAGGACCATTCTGGAAGAAAACCTGTTTGAGTCTGCAAGAGACCTGAGACTGGGACGGAGATTTATCTTCCAACAAGACAATGATCCAAAACATAAAGTTAAATCTACAATGGAATGGTTCACAAATAAACGTATCCAGGTGTTGGAATGGCCAAGTGGTCAAAGTCCAGACCTGAATCCAATCGAGAATCTGTGGAAAGAGCTGAAGACTGCTGTTCACAAATGCTCTCCATCCAACCTCAATGAGCTCGAGCTGTTTTACAAGAAAGAATGGGCAAGAATTTCAGTCTCTATGTGCAAAACTGACAGAGACATACCCCAAGAGACTTGCAGATGGAACTGCAGCAAAAGGCGCGCTACAAAATATTAACGCAAGGAGGCTGAATAATATTGCACGTCCCACTTTTCAGTTTTTTATTTGTTAAAACATTTTGACACATCCAATAAATTTCATTCCACTTCACGATTGTGTCCGACATGTTGTTGATTCTTCACAAAAAATTAAAATTTTATATATTTAGGTTTGAAGCCTGAAATGTGGCAAAAGGTTGAAAAGTTCAAGGGGGCCGAATTTCTTATCTGTGAGGTGGAGGTGAACAACAGGACAAGATTCAGCAGTTCACCTCCACCTCACAGATGAGGGACACTCTTTTGAGGACCAAAATGTTCACATTTTGGACCGAGAATACAGATGGTTTGAGAGGGGGGTGAAGGAAGCAATTTATGTAAAAAGAGAAAAGCCGTCTCTTAACAGAGGAGGAGGCCTCAGATTTCCACTTTCTAAAACATATAATGCAACTTTAAGGCCCTGTACACACGTAGCCGGATATCAGGAAAACCGAATAGTTTATCATGCGGTGTGGCCTTTCATCCACACGTGAACTCCGGTTGATGTAACTATAAACGAATAATAACAAAAACTCCGACCAAAGTGGAGATTTGAGAAATCTCCTCTTTCGGGTTTGCGTGTGGACTTTCGGAACCGGAGATATGCGCATTATGTCTGCGACAGATGGTGCAGCGCGGCGCTGACGTCACATGTGCGACAATTGTTTTTGTTTGCCCATTCATTCGGAGGGAAAATGACTGCGTTTAGGGAAGTACTAATTGTAACGCTGGTTCAGGCAATTTTTGCTTGCTTGTTTTTACAAGCACAACTGCTCCAACAGATGGAATTACAAAGGAGAAAAAGCGTTTGGCGTTCAGCTCTTTTACAGCAACTATCCCTACCGATACGGAGGCACAATACCGCCATTCAGCGTCGCCGTCGCCGGTTTTGGATCAG